GTAGCAGAAGGAGAGTAATTATAAAGATTAGAGCAGAAATAAATAAAATGGAAAGACAATATAGAAAATCAACTAAGCGAATACTTGGTTTATTGAAAAGATCAACAATAATGACAAAACTTTGACTAGGCTAATCCAAAAAGTAAAAAAATGTAAATAAAAATTAGAAATGAAAGAGTAGACATGACAACTGATGCCACAAAAACCAAAAGGATTGTTAGAGAATAATGTGGACAATTATGTGCCAACAAACTGAATAATTTAGAAAAAATAGATAAAATTCTAGAAATACGTGACATACCAACAATCAATTATGGAAAAACAAAAAATACAGACAGACATAGAACTAGTAAGGAAATTGAATCATTAATAAATTTTTCACATAAAAGAAGAGCCCACAACCAGATGGTTTTCCTGTAGAGCTTTACCAAGCATTTAAAGAAGTATTAGCACTGATCCTTCTCATATTCTTTAAAAAAAATTTGATGAGGGGAAAGCAGTTTCCAATTTGAGGTAAACATTACCCAGATATGAAAACCAGACAAAGATACTACAAAAAAATTAAACTACAAACCAGTACTCCTGATGAACATGAATGCAAAAGTTCTCAAAAAGATACTAAAAAACTGAATTCAACTACCAATTTAAAAGATTATACACCATGATCAATTGTGACTTACTCCTGAAATGCAAGGATGGTTCAACATGAAAAAACAATCTATCCATGTAATTAACACACCACAGTAACAGAATGGCAGAAAAAAAAAATCCCACATAGTCACCTCAATTGATGAAGAAAAAAGCATTTGCCAAATTCAATACGTTTTCACAATTTAAAATATAATACATTTTCCAAACTAGGAACAGAAGGAAATTATCTCAACATAATAAAGGTAATTCATATATAAAAAGCCCACAGCTAACCCTAGACTAAATGATGGAAAACTGAAAGCTTTTCCTCTAAGATTAGGAATAAGGCAAGGATGCCCACTCTCAAGTCCTCTATTCAACATGCAACCAAAAGTTATAGCTGGAAGCAATTAGGCAAGACTAAGAAATAAAAGTCACCCAAATTCAAAAGAAGAAGTAAAATTATCTTTGTTTGCAGATATGAGCTTGTGTGTAGAGAACTCTAAAGTTTAAACACACACAAAAATGTTAAAACTAATAAACAAGTCTAAGGGAGTTGCAGAATAGACAACATAAAAAATCAGTTGTTTCTATCCATTAACAATAAAAAAGGAAAACAATTTTATTTATAATAGCATCAAAAAGAATAATTAGGAATAATCTAACCCAAAAAGTTAAAAGTCTTTACACTGAAAACTAGAAAACATCATTGAGAAATTAAAGATGAAACAAATAAATGGAAAGACATTCCATGCTAATGTATTGGAAGAATTAATGTTAAAATGTCCATACTAAGCAATGCAATCTATAGGTTCAATGCAATCCCTATCAAAATCTCAATGTTATTATGTGGCAGAAATAGAAAATCTATCCTAAAATTCATATAGAACCTCAAATAATTCTGAATAGTCAAAAAATTCTTGAGAAAGAAAAACAGAGTGGGGCTTTACACTTTCTGAACTCAAGATATACTACAAAGCTGCAGTAATCAAAACAACGTGGTACTGGCATTAATTCAGACACACAGAACAATGAAACAGAATAATCCTAAAACTAACCCTCAATATGTGATGAAATTATTTTAAACAAACTTGTTAAGGTTATACAATAGGGAAAGAATAATCTTCTCTTCCATTAATTGTATTGGAAAAACTGGATATCCTCATGCAAAAGAATGTTGGGCACTTATCTGATATTATGTGTAGAAATTGACTCAAAACAAATTAAATTCCTAAACATTAGACTTGAACTGTAAAAAATCCTAGCAGAAAACTTAGAGAAAACTCTTTATGACTCTGGATTTGGCAATTTTTTCCTGAATAGGACACCAAAAACACAGGCATTAGAAGCAAAAATAGACTTGACTACAGAAGAATTAAAATTTTTGTAAAATAAATAAAATGATCAACAGAGTGAAACAGCAACTTTTGAAATGGGAACAAATATTTTCAAACCATATGTCTGATAATACGTTAATAGCCAGAGTATCTAAAGAATTCTTACAACTCAACAACAGCAAAATAAATAACCAGATTTAAAACTGGATAGAAGACTTGAATAGACATGTCTTCAAAGAAAATATGCAAATGGTCAATAAATATGTGAAAAGATGCTTAGCATTACCGATTATCAGGGAAATTCAAATCAAAACCACAGTGAGTTATCACCTGACAACCATTAGAATGGCCATTACCAAAACCAAAACAAAACGAAGTAAAAAACAGAAAATAAGAAGTGCTGGTGAGGATATGCAGAAATTGGAACCTTTGCCTCTGTTACTTAGAGTGTAAAATGATGTAGCTGCTATGGAAAACAGTATGGTCATTCTTCAAAAAACTAAAAATAGAATTATCATATGATCCAGGAATCCCACTTCTGAGTGTATATCCAAAATAACTGAAAGCAGAGTTGTGAAAGGTATTTGTACACTCATGTTCATTGCAGCATTATTCACAATAACAAAGAATAACCAACCTAAATGCTCACTGTTCAAGGTTTGAATAAAGGTTGAATAAAGAAAATGTGGTATATACATACAAAGGAATGTTATTCAATCTCACATAGGAATGAAATTTTGTCATATTCTACAACACAGATGAGTCTTAAGAACATTATGCTAAGTGAAATAAGCTAATCACAGAAAGAACAATACTGGATTATTCCAAGTGCACAAGGTGACTAAAGTGGTCAAATTCTTATAAACATAAAGTACAATGGTGTTTGCCAGGGGGTGACTCTGAGGAAAACAGGGAATAGTTTAAGGGGTATAGAATTTCCATTTTGCAATATCAAAAGTTTCTAGAGATATGTTACACACTAACGTACATAGACTTAAGACTACTCTTCTGAACACTTAAAATGGTAAAGATGGTAAATTTTATGTTATGTGTTATTTCCCACAATAAAAAATATGCTCACTTTGGAAATAAATTTCGCAATTTATTTATATTTATTTATTTATTTTTGAAACCAGGTCTCACTCTGTCACCCAGGCTGGAGTACAGTGGCATGATCTCAGTTCACTGCATCCTCAGCCTACCAGGCTCAAGCCATCCTCCCACCTCAGCCTCCCAAGTAGCTGGAACCACAGGCACATGCCACCATGCCTGGTGAATTGTATTTTATTTTTATTTTATTTTATTTTATTTTTTGGTAGAGACGGCATTTTAACATGTTGTTCAGGTTGGTCTTGAGCTCCTGAGCTTAGATGATCTGCCAGCCTCGGCTTCTCAAAATGTTGGGATTACAGACATGGGCCACTGCACCCCTCTAAATTTGGCAATTTATTAACAAGTTAATTATACATCTATATAGTCACTCAGCAATTCCATTCTTAGGTATTTATTGTACTAAAATAAAATTATAAAACTGCCAAAACCCTTATACAAGAAGCTTCCAGTGATGGGATTGCTGGGTCAAATGGTATATACTCGAAATATATAAATCATTCTATTATAAAGACACATGCATGCGTACGTTCATTGCAGCACTATTCACAATAGTAAAGACATGGAATCAACCTAAATGCCCTTCAGTGATATAATGGATAACAAAAATGTACATATACACCATGAAATACTATGCCACCATAATAAAAGAATGAGATCATGTCCACTGCAGGGACATGAATGGATGGAGCTGGAGGCCATTATCCTTAGCAAACTAACACAGGAATAGAAAATCAAATACTTCACATTCTCACTTATAAGTGAAAGCAATATGATGAGAACACATAGACAAATAGAGGGGAACCACACACACTGTGGCCTTTCGGTGGGATGTAGGGTTGGAGGAGGGACAAGATCAGGATAAGTAGCTAATGGTCACTAAGCTTAATAACTGGTTTGTGTACAATGAACCCCCATGACACAAGTTTACCTATGTAACAACCGTGCACTTGTACCTCTGAACTTAAAATGTAAGTAATGTGTCCAGCAGATTATTATAGCAAAATACTGGAAACGGTGCTGGTATCTTCAACAGAAAGATGCATTAATAAATGTAATACATTCATACAATGGAATAATAAACAGCAATATAAATGAACAAACTAAGAAATATGTAGCACAAGTGAATCTGAAGGAAATTATTCATAAAGAAAGAAGCCAGAATAAAAAATAAAAAAAGTAGAATTCCATTCTATAAAGTTCTAGAAGAAGTGAAATAATGTATGAAGAAGAGAGTGTAAGTGAGTAGTCATTTCTGGGCTGTTATTTACTGGGAACAGTTTTATGATTGCAGGAAGTGGATTAAGCAAATGTGTGCCTTTTCAGAACTGCTCTGTCTGTGCAAGATATTTGCATTTTATTGCATACAAATTATGTCTCAGTGAAAAATACATCATTCTTCAATTTTTCAGCAACAGTATCAGATAATACACATTTCATTTTAGAAAATGCATCCAGAAAATAAAGTTGACAAATAACTTTTTAAGTAGTTCTATGTAAATTAGTACATTCCCACAAAGGCAAACGCTTTTCTTATATTCTCTCATCAGATTAACTTAAGAACACATTCTTGCTTAATAGTAATTTTTAGTTAGAGAAAATACATTCACCAAGTATTCTGATGAAATTTAATAGATATGCCTAATGCATACATGATATTTGATATGATGCTTATTTTTAAAACAAGTAATACTTCTCCAATTGTAGGTTAGAAAAAAAAAACTATAATGTGGTGATTCTATACTTGAAGAAAAAAAATCTGTTTCCTTTTCATAAGGGTTAGTAGAACACTTTGTAACATAAAGATATTTACAGTCACGAAAAAATTTCAACTTTAAGAAGAAATCACCAATTATTGTCAAAATAATAATTATGTAGCTATAATGATGTGAGCACTTTTATCTATTCTTTCTAAATGCTTACATGCACAATCTTCATTCAATGGGAGTTTGAGGAAAGCAGGTGCTCTTTTTAAAAATGACACTGTTAGAGTCACTTCTTCTCCAGCATTCCGAAGAACCTGAACCTAAAAAAAAAGAATAAAAAGAATAAAACTATCATTACGTTTATCATTTTATATGATGGCAAAGCCTTTAAATTATTGGTTGCTTTTTCCACCTTCCATTTTTCCCTAGTGGTCAGAAGCATTTTATAAAAGATAGAGGGAGGTAATTATTTATCATTGCAGTAAGAGTCATTAATGTGCATCCTCTTGTCACAATTTGTGATCCCCTGTTTATATACAATGTGCATCTTCCATTCATACTTATTGAGATCTTCTTGAATTTATAGTCTATATTAGGCAATATGACGAATCATGAAGTCCACAGAAAGACAGATATAATGTTCAGGACACTGTATTTATTAGTAAATATTAATAATTGTTGAACATCTATTATGCACCAATAAATTGAATAAGCTTTGGAGCATCCATTATGCAAGATAAAATAGTCTAAGATATAAGAGAAAATTATTCTAAAAGCATAAAAATCTGATTCTGCCAATGTTGACCAGAGTACTAATTCAGATTAAATCAAATTGACCCAATTCACTCTAATCCTCTTGCAAAAAAAAAAAAAAAAAATTGGCATTACATCTTCTACTTAATATTTTCTTTTCCCTGCAAACCTGTTATTATCAATAGCATCCGTTGTTATATGATGTTGAAGTCTGTTATTATCAATGACTCTCAACATTTTTTAAATTATAGAATAAGTAAGTCTAGTTCTTCCAGTTAAAATAATTTCAATGTCTCCAAAAATCATATCTAAAAATATAAGCATTGTAAAAACTTAAAAATTGTTTAAAAAACTAAAAGAACAAAGAAACCGAAGAGTTATTTATAACAAACACACCTGAAAAAGATATTAATATATTTATGATTTTAAACTATCATGTAAAATAAGAAGACAAGAATAATCAGTGAAAAAACGGTTAATAAACATGGAAATATACCTTGTTAAATACGCTGAAAAATTGTTCAACCACAAATCATTAAAGAATTGGCTACTTAAAGCCAATTTACAATGACTTCTGGTCCTGACAAGATGGCACAGATGGCTGGGCGTGGTGGCTGGTGCCTGTAATCCCAATACTTTGGGAGACCGAGGCAGGTGGATCACCTGAGGTCTGCAATTCGAGACCAGGCTAGCCAAAATGGTAAAACCTCCGTCTCTACTAAAAATACGAAAAAAAAAAAAAAAAAAAAAAAAAAAAATTTAGCCTGTCTTGGTGGCAGGCATCTGTAATCCCAGCTACTTGGGAGGCTGAGGCAGGAGAATCGTTTGAACCTGGGAGGCAGAGGTTGCAGTGAGCCGACACCACACCTCTGCACTCCACCCTGGGCAGCAAGAGCGAAACTCCGTCAATACATACATACATACATACATACATATATAATTTTTTTTTTTAAACGGACAAGCTCATCTCTCTCTGCTCCCCTCCAAGAAGTACAACTGTAAACACTGAAGAAAAGAGAAGAGACAACCAAATAAGAACTCTGAAAGACGGAAGGAGAAGGAAAACCTGATTACGGGTCTCAGGACAGCATTGAACAGCACAGACACCGGATACATTACCTGCTCCACCAAACAGAGGAACACCAAACAGGCCGGGCATTTTCTCCGCCCCATCATTAAAACAGACAGCATGCTAGATAGGCTCATACTACCTCTGGATTGTAAGAGAGCCCTACTAATACCAGGCAGGACCACAAACATCAGTGAGTGGTGACAACTGGAAGCCAGCAGAAGTGCTAGCCTTCTCCCTGGGTGTGAGAATACTCTGCGCCACTCAGAGGCACTGTGTAACCGGGAACACTGGCAGCGGTACCTCCTCATACGTGCCCAGTGAAAGAGGCTGCTTTGTGAAGATCCTGAGACTGCCCTCCCCCGCCTAGAGACACTGTCCTAGCAGAGAGTACCAGCAAAGATAGACCTGCTCCAAAGTCCCCATTATCCTACCTCCTCTACAGCAGGGAGGAACCCTCCATAACCAGCACTGACCTGGGAAAATTTTTTCCATCCCTTCAGACTATCCCAACAGGGAACAGTGGGTGCCCATTGATACGAGATAAATCAGTCAGAAAAAGCAGCACCAAACGGCTCTAAAACGTATGTCGTAAGTGGAATCATGGTCCACAAACCCGTGAACTAAATAGTAAATTTCTGCTTAAAAAAGAAATCTCAAGTAAGAGGCAGTCACCTAACATAATAAACAAAATGACCAGGATATAGTAAAACTTATATATCATATTGAGAACCAGAAAAATCACAATTTTAAAGGGAAGAAGTAATCTACTAATACCAATGAGATAAATCACATATTGGAACTCTCTGACAAGGATTTTGAAGCAATCAACAAAAATGATGCCATAAGAAATTACAAGTTTTTTTGATTCAAGTGAAAAATTATAAAATCTCAGCAAAAAAATAAGTTATGTTGTAATATCCAAATAGATATTACACAAATATTTTTTCATAAATTTTAAAAACACTTGGGGATAGTTCAATAACAAAGTAGGAATGAAAGAGAGTAGAAGTAACAAAGATGAGGACAGAATAATATAATTCACCTAATCTGAACAATAAAGACTATATAGACCAAAAAAAAAAAGAAAAAGAAAGAAAGAAAAAATAACCTGAAGGATAGTAACAAAATATATAAAATGAATATCATATGAGTCACAGAAGAGAGGAGAAAGAAGAGGGACTGAAAGATTATTTAAACATATAATGTCTGAAAATTTCTCAAATTGGATGACAGATATGAGCCCTCAGATTTAAGAAACTTAACAAACCTCGAAAGGATCCTGCCACATAAATCTACACTAAGACACATCATAATTAAAATTTTGCAAACTAAAGATAAAAAAGAACAAACTTTTAAAACTTTTAAAAGGAGCCAGATAAAAGACTTATGTAAATATTATTAAATGTTTTAACAAATCAAACAATACAACATGATCAATGCAAATCAGATAATACAACATGATCAACCGAAGTTTAATCCAGGAATACAAGGTTGGTTTAACATTAGAAAATCAATTGGTGTAATTAACCACATAAAAACCTAAGTTGAAATATCAAAAAACATTTGGCAATATTCAAAATTCATATCTGTTGAATGCTTTAAACAAAGTAATGGTAGAACAGAACTTCCTCAAACTGACAGAGGAAAAGCTATAAAAAAAAACCTACAAGTAGTATCATTACTAAACGGTAAAAGACTAAAGGCCTTAATGACTTCAGTTTAGAAAAAATAAAAGAATGTCCACACTATGTACTTTAAGTCAACATTTCCATAAAAGTACTAGGCAGGGTAATATAGAGAAAAAAAGTAGTTATCTATATTTGAAAAGAAAGTACAAAAGCATCTATCTGCAGATGACATGATGGCTTACAAAAAAGTACACTAGAATCTACCAAAAAAAAAAAAAAAGAAAGAAAAATCTCCTGGAACTAATCATAACTAATCTTTTTTAGCAGAGTTTCAGGAAATAAGATAAATATAAAATAATTATATTTCTTTATAAAAAATCAATTTCTAATTTAAAAAATTTATAAAATCACCAAAATCATGAAATATTTATGTATCAGTCTAACAAAAGTAGTAAAAGCCCTGTATACAAAACATTGCTATGAGTAATTTTTAAACATTTAAATATATGTGTCACAAAATTCAATATTTATCTACTCTAATTGACATATGAGAATCCCAGCAGACTTTTTAATAAAAATTGACAAACTGTTATTAAAATTCATGTGGAAATTTTAAAAATCCAGGATAACCAAACCACCTTTGGAAAATAAAAACAAAGCTATTACACCAACATCGTTTGATTTTAAGAGATATAAAAATACTATAATCATCAAGACATTGTGCTATCAAAAACATAGATAAAATAAAATAAAATAATAATATAATATAATGTAATATAATTAATATAATATAATGTAATATAATATGTGTCTAGAAATAAATGCAAACAAAAATAAACAACTATTTTTCAACAATATTGCAATGAAGTAGAGAAAGTAAAATCTTTTTAACAAATTGTGCTGGGACAATTTCAAATCCTCATTAGAAAAGAAAAGGAGCTTTGATCTATACCTTACATAACATACTAATACTACTTCAGAGTGAATCAATCACCTGAATGTAAAGTCTAAGCTTATAAAACTTCTAGAAGTAAACTTTGGAGAAAACCATTGTGGCATTGAGGCAGGATTTATTTTTGTAGTTATTAATCCAAAGTACATCCCGTAAAAACACAAATTGTTAAGTTGGGAGTAATCAAAATTGAACCATTGTTTTTTACACAATATGCTTTTAAGAGAGTCACAAACTTTGAGAAAATATTTGTAAATCTTTTTCTGATAAATAATATACACCTGGAATATATTTTAAAACACTCAAAACTCAATAATAATACAAATGACCTAATAAAACATGAGAAAAAATCTCAGGCAGGTATATCCCTGAACTTATGTTGATGGCAAATAAGTGCATGAAAATATGCTTAACATAATTAGGGAAATGTAAATTAAAACTATAATGAGATACCACTATAAATCTTCTGAAACGTCCAAATTATATATGCCTCAGATACTAAGTGCGTGTAAGGTTTTGGAGGAACTGGACCGCTCAGAGACTAAGAATAAAAATTTTAAATGTTACAATGATTTTAGAAAATAATTTAGCAATTTCATAAAATTGAAACATGCCATACTACATGATCCAATAAATTAATTTTTAGAAATTTATCCAAGAGAAATGAAAGTAAATGTCCTTACAAATACTTTTCATGAATATTCATGGCAGCTGTATTTTTAATCAGAAAATTTAGAAAACTCAAATGTCCATCAGAAGGTAAATGGGTAAACAAACTTAAGTATATCCTTATAATGGAGTGTGACTCTACAATAATAAGAAAAAATGAATGAGTGATGGGTACATGATACCAGGTGAATAAATATAAAATAATTATATTAAGTGAAAGAAGCCAGAAAACATAGTACCAACTAC